AGCTGGCCTACCATAGAAAACTGCATCTCCCCTCGACGCTTAACTGCAATAGAGGATGAAAAAGAAAAAGTAAAGTAAAGTACAAAAGAAACAGAATGAACAAAAAAGCTATTCTTCTATAGAACTAGTATCTTAACAAGACAAGAATCGACAGGAAAGACATTTCATGCTTAGCTTGTACATATATATTTTTACAGTGCAAGCCTTACTACTATTTTAAAAAGTGTCAATAATGTTTTAAAAGGAGTATGCTGACATTCAGATTAGAAGCATGAGAATCTAACTTGCAAATGTCCTACAAAAGTCTGAAAATAGCTTTCCTGTTGATTATTCTTCCATATACCCCACCCCACCCCCCTACACCCCTCTATAAACAAAGGAATTTAATAAAAGGGCAACAGGATAAGACTGGGAAAGCAGTTCCAAAACACAGACCACAATCAAACAAAATCAGAACACTAGCAACAAGAATCAACCTATTCAATCAAATTTCCACATCATCAAACTTCCAGCAGATTCCCCTTTATGAGCCCATTCTGTGACTAATTGTACGAGATAATTGATCATAATATATTCCATTACTAACTACTCTGTGATATATTGGAGCTACCCTTCCGGACCAAGACAAAAAACTGAGGACCTACTCAGGGGACAATGCAGCCCTTATAGAAAACTACACATATCATTTCATAGTGCTGAACTATAGGGCAAAAGCTCAACCTTTGCTAAGACTGACATCAACAAGAACGATGAAGCATGTTACTCATTCTACCATATGTCACATGAGTTATGAACTCTTTTTTTATGTATGTATTTAATGCCAGCATTGACAAAATTTAGATCATTTGGGGGAGAGGGAGGGGGCTTTGACCCTGATTGTCAGAGCAACCTGGGATGAGAAGGATACAATATCCCTGCAGAAAGATGGAGATGCTTGATAAAAATTCTCCCCACATTGGAATTTAAGTTAGATTCCCTGTGTGCAGTTATGAAGCACCTAATTACTTCTCCACAAACACTGATTGTTTTTCAAATGGCATCATTCAAACTATCAAAATTGTTCAATATATCGAGAGTGGTTCACATAGAACAGAACATCGAAATTCATCTGGATTCTTTTATTCTAAGGTTTGGTGGCTCCTTAAATGAAGAAACAAGAGAGGTAAGATAGGTTGTCTTTTTCTTCTTTTGTGTTTCCCCACTACATCTAAGGGTTAGTTGACAACGGGTTCTCTCACTATGCGACTTCTAAGCTTATTGGTCTTAATATATTATACACCTGATGTCCATTGTCGCCATCAGAAAGTAGGATTTCTTGCTGTTCAGTCAGCCATGCTGATTTTAAAGAGACTCTTAACTATTAAAACTGACCTGTGTTGAATGAGAAGATATCATTGTACCAGGTCTCAGCACCATTGTGGCCTCCAAACACATACACAGCATCCTTCACCACACAGGCAGCATGCTCACATCTGTGGAAAAATGGCAAAGGGAAAGTTTAATATACTTATAATGCAAAAATTCAGAACAAATGCAAGAGAAAAAAACTTTTAGTTTAGTTTAGTTTTAGTAGAGGTTTTACGGCACTCGCAACTGCATAAGGTCATACGAGCGCCAGAAGAAAAGAGGTGTTACAAGAGAGTAACAAACATAAAAAAGAAGAAGGGGAGATAAGGACGATAAATGTTTGATAGGAAAGAAGGAGCAAACCACACCAGAGCACCCGCCAACCATCCACAGAAAAAAAACCTATTGAAAACTACTCATTAATTGCCCAGCCAGTAATAGCTCTTCTTTTATATCTTCTCCACTACCCCCCCCCCCCAAACAAAAAAACCCCCAACTAACAAACAAGAAAATCCAATACCCCCTCCCCCCCAAAAAGGCATAGAGTGTTTACTTGCAGTGATCTTAATGCAAACATAGCTTTGCAGATGATTTGTAATCAAACTGTCAGTCTCTCCATCTGCCCCAACAGCTACAACAGGTACATTACAGATTAGACGGGACATTTTTGGTGTGGCATTGATTAAAATTATCAACGTCTTGAATATCACCAAAATGGTTTCCTGAATAGAAGTATAGCTTGCATGAATCGAGTAATCAAGCCCTTAAACATTTACTCAACTTTATGAAGCGACCAGTTTCACATCATCTCTGCGGAGTGAATGTATTAAGGCTACACGTAAATGCTGCTCCTAAAAAAAAAAACTCCGCCGTTGTTAGTACAAGTGACACATCAAAGTTATGCATATTGAAAAAAGTACTTAGTTTTACAGAAATATTTTTTTTAAAGGAAAACTGGTGCCAGCTACAAGCTAATGAAATTTTCTTTTATGAAAGCTTAATACTTTGTGATGAAGTGGGCAGTCGGTGGGTACTCTGATGTGGTCTCCATCTCTTACATTTCTTCCAGTGTTATTGGGCCCCTTCTGTGTTCTGACAAGATATGTCTGTTATCATGCCGACTTTTCATAAACTATAACCAAGTAGAAACAAAAGTGCTAGAGTAATAATTTTCAATTTACCACATCATGTGCCCTGCCCTCTCCAGTGGAATATCTCCTCCTTGACAGAGTTTCGCCCATTTCAGAGCCCCACGGTGAACTGCAAAAAAGTATAATGGGATGCCATTTAAACAGAGTGAGTTTGAGACATGAAGTATACATACATTTCATAAAATGTACAAGATTGCCTAAATTCAGAAACACACATGTGTCTTTTATTGTCATTTTTAGAGATTTCAGAGAGCTCCCCTCCCCCCATATCTGATGTTCCCATCTTCACCTCCCAAATGTCTTAAAAGAGTGTTAATGATTTAAAAACTAAACACATCAGTACAATAAAGTGAGTGTCATTACAGGGTGGAGGAAGGGGAATTATTATGTCTTATGTGGAAAGGGGGGGGGGGGGTGAGGGGGGAAAAATTACGGTACTGAGACAATGAAATGTGTTTGCATTACTAATTATGCATCAGCTATGAGCTTTTTTTCTTAGGAAGACTGTACACCACTAAAACATGAAAGACAAAAGAATTAGGTGAATGACAGATATTTATATAGATCTATACATTGTCTATAAAGCAATCAAACTTTTCCTCATTATTTTTTTTTTTTGCAGCATAATGCATGCATCTGCTCAAAAGGAATTTTTGAAATTTCTTGGTAAAACAAGTTAAGGGAGAGCTAGGTTGTAGATATAAAAAATAAACGACACATGTTTTTCTTTAAAATGTCTTTTCATTCGAGAAAGGTACACATTGCAATTCGTTTTGAATACAAACACAATGACAGACAGACAAACAAAAACAAACACACACCCAAACTCAAAATATAAACATTATTTTAGAAGCTTACAAACAAAAATTCCAAATCTAATTTTTTGTAAAGTACAACATGTGCTGCGTTTTGTGTAAAAGAAAAAAAAAAGGTAGCAGATGAACATAAAACAGACAGGTAGACACCACAAGACAGAAAGAAATTTTGTACAAAGATATCATATTCAATTCCAAATAAAAATGAAAACAAAATGTAGTCATCTAAGGGTTCACGATCTAAGTCTGGGAGATATGAAAACAAAAACAAATTAATTGCTGATACCCAAAAACAATCTAAAAGAAAGAAAAGAAATAATAAAATAAAAATAGCTACTCCCTGCCGAAGGATCTATGACGAAAAGAACTTAAGAGAGAAACCTTTTAAACGGTACATATCATTTTGATAGAAGGTACCCTGAAAAAACAAGTACATACTTAATTAATATCAGATCAATTTAATTTTTCTTTCCTCCAGCTGAAAGGCATAAAAGACCAAATATTTGCAACATTTTTTCGAAGAGAATTGGCAATGTATTCTTATAATATAGATCTATATATATATGTGTGTCACAACGCGGTGGAATCAGGCGTTCATCAATTTTTGGGCTTGTGGAGTTATAGGATCATCTGAAAACTTGTTCATTTGCTTGCTTTAGATGAAAAAAAATCCTCGTCAACTTAGAATAGAGGTTGAAATATTTTAAATTGAAAATGGTGGGTGTCACCTGGTTTTAGAGGTAAAATTATAAGTGAGAAAATGGCCACCAAAGATGACTTATTTTCTTAGCTTGAGAGTTCGAGGAAACTGAAAATTTACATTTTTTGTGCCTTTAATCAACGTTTTTCAGTAAAATCCATTCAGAAATTTGCTCTTTAATGGGCATGAAAGGTGTTGAGGCAAAACACAAAAATTCAATGAAAATTCACAAACTTGAGGTAAAAATAGTAAAATGTTAGTTTCTTCATTTTGATTGTTTTGACGATCCCCTGATTTCACCACATGTAATTTTTCACATATGTAATTGATGCTTGCAAGCGAAGTTGCGAGATGTTTTCTTACATTTTATAAAAGCTTTTTTACCACAAGAGGGTCATTTTCTGAGAGCTTTATTGTCATAAAAAGTTATTACACTTATTTCATTAAAGACTAACAGATTAAATTTTCCTTTTTTACACACATGTAAATCAGTGAGGATATGGGGCACTCATTTGTAAACTTGTAAAACACAGCTTGACAGGATGACAAAGATGCACAGTAATGAGAAGCTGTAGTTGAATGCAAGTTTTATCATCCCTAGGCTGCACAACAAGATTCAACTTTCTCTAACCCCCCTCCCCCCCCCTTAAAAAAAAAGCAAAACAAAAAAAAACACCAAAAAAAACCCAGTACAGCAAAGACCTTCGAGGTCAATATACATGTATTTTTGCAGGAAGAGAAATTAATTAAATAGGCATTTGAGGCACTATATGTGGTGTTTCACATTAAGTGAAGCCTATCTTGTATACTTACTGTGAGGCATTTTAACACATTATATAGTGTCTCACATAAAGTATAGCTAGCCTAGTTTTTTTTTTCCTTTTTACAGTACATGTACAGGCTTCACACGAAACCTACTCTAACCACTACATACCTGTCTAAGATATACATCAGCACAAACCTACATTTCCCACTTCTCCTCATTATTTTTTTTCAATATCATTATAAATGACATTGTCCAGGAAGACCATAAGTATAAAATTAACACTTATAATTCTGACAATGGTTGGCCTTCTCAGACAGGTTCGACTACATCAATAGTGCAACACCTTTCACCTTTCTTTTTGAGGTATCACTTACTAGTGCAGCATTCTCTGAGTTGCGAAGTTCAACATTTTTTCCTCCAAAGACATAGGTTTTCACCTTTCACAGAAAAAGCAACATCATGGCTGAAATGAAACAGTACAAGCATGATGAATATATGACATTCAATCTTAATTCTTTCTTTTTTACAGGGAGGGAGGCGGAGGAGAGGGGGAATAAAGCTCAAAGGCTCCGTCCTTCAATATCAGAATTCATTTTTTAATTGCTGTTTAAGCAGGGTAGGGCCTATTCAAGTGAATGGAATTTGAGGCACTTGGCCTGACAAGATCTGATCTCTCTAATCACTTGAATTTTATAGCTAATCAACAGCTCAAGCCGCAGACCATGAGAACTATAGTAATTCACTTTCTTTTTTCATTAGTGTAGGTATTTTTACACCCCCATCGACACACAATTTGGAATATTTCGGTGGTAGGCTTTCGACCCTGCCTGTCAGGACCAACCCAGCATATCCGGCAGGCTGAGACTGAGAGGGATAAAAAACATTCCAATTCCAGCAGAAAGACTGAGATATATTATACTTGATGAAAGTTTTCCCCACTTGGAAATTGAACTTGGGTCTCGCCTGCCTGTGACAGCAAAGCGCCTCTATACAGCTTACCACTACACCACTGACGCCGTGTGTATTTCAGCTGGAAAATCCAAAATGTGATGGGCTCAGTGTCACAGTCAGTGACAAAAGTAAGGATTGGCTGTCAGTTGATTTAAACATTTAAAGATCTACTAGATCTAGATCTATGTATAATATACATAGTATAATATAGTAGTATAATATAGTAGATCTAGTAGGCCTATAGGATAGGAAACCGTAAGCCTTCAGTAATAGTAAAAAGTAAAGTTGTTCCCGCATCCCAAGCCCCCCAAAAAATAGAAAGAAGGAAAAAACAATAATAACAACTCCACTGACTCCACATCACACATCTTGAATATAAATATAAGAATCTAGATCTACACAATGTATCCATACAAAGAATGAAGTTGTCCCTTACCGTGGGAATGGGCTTCTCCCATCTGGCTGAGCCAGATTCCACACGCAACTTACGAGGCTCATTATGATGAGCAACTGACAGAAAATGGAAATCGAAAGTAGAAAATCCGCGAGTGAAAACAAAATGGGTAGTAATAATTGGTGAAGACGGAAATTGATGGCAGATTGTGGTATTCGTGTGCTTCATCTTTCAATTGTTTCGCACTTAACTTTGCCCCTCCCCTTCCCCGCCCCCTTTTTACAGCCTTTCCTCCTCCTTGATCCTGCATCCCAAAACCCCTAAAGACAACGAGAACAACAAACATGCAAACAAAACAAAACAAGAGCAAAGGACTATACACATTGTAAATGTTAAAAGAAAATAAACCTCCAACAACAACGACACACACACACCGCACACAAACATTCACACATTCTCTCTCTCTCTCTCTCTCTCTCTCTCT